GTGTGAGGCCAGAGACCCCCTTGCCAGGCACAGCCTAATGGAATGTGCCCACTGCGCACTGGAACCGGGCCATGCCGAGCACCCACCACCCAGCAGCACCCTGCAGGTCCCATGCCATCGCTCCTGGCCCATCCTGGTCCCCCTTAACCGGAGCCAGAGCGACCTTAACAGCAAAAGTGAGAGGCTGCCAGGCCTTATCAGAGAGTATTTACAGCCGCTGTGTTCCCAATTAGACAGTCAGGTGACTGCAGCTGCTGGAGACCCAGACACCAGGGTCAAGGTCGTTGGTGGGGGCCTGGGGGTGGCAGAGGGGCAGCCACCTCCCCAGGGACACCCGCTGGCCATGGCATGGCCAGGGAACCTGCCGGCACAGCACCCCAGTGTGGCACACCAGGTGGTAATAGGGGACCCCATCGCGGGGTCCATGGGGGTCCTGGTCCCTGCCGTCGGCACGGCCACTGCAGGGCTCCCAGTCCAGCGTCAGGGTGCTCCCAGTCCAGCGTCAGGGTGCTCCCAGTCCAGCGTCAGGGTGCTCCCAGTCCAGCGTCAGGGTGCTCCCAGTCCAGCCCAGCCCAGAGTACCCCAGCCCAGTGTGACACTACACCTCCCACTGAGCCAGCGCAGGGTGTCCCCGGTACGAAGTGCTCCCAAAACAGCAGCACCCCAGTTAAGCCCAGTACCCCATCACAGTTCAGACCATCATGGCCATGTCTCAGGCCAGCACATGACATTCTGCCCAGCTGCACAGGGCACCCACAGCCCCCCAGGCAGCACCCTGGGCTCCCCATTCCAAGCACAGCACCCACCGTTCCCCTGTTGGGAATCAATGGCACCAGGCCCCGTTGGGTCCCATCCTGCCCCCGAGTAGGTGAGCCCCGTGTATGGGCACAGGTGTGTGGTGCTGGCAGCACATGTGCTCACATGTGCTCACACACCAGGGAACACGGCTGGGCAGCCAGGGCCTGGCTGCACACGCGTGTGCAACTGCACATGTGATCTGCACCCGCCCTGCATCCACCTGGGGTCCCCCCTGGACCCTGGGGCAGGATCTGGCCCCGGCTATTCCCCGCTGGAGGCTGTGCCCTGCTTTTTCCCAAAGCCATAAGGGGCTGGTGGTCCCACCAAGCCCCTCCCCTGGGGAGCAGGGGGGTGTCACATGCCCGTCCTGCCTCAGTCTCCCCAGTGACACCCAGCATATCCCACTGCTGGCCAGCCAGGGCAGAGCCTGTGCCCACCATGATTCACAGCGCTGGCACCCCTTTGCTGGGACTGCTGGCACCACGGTGGCCTCTGTGGTGTCACTGTCTGTCCCTGGGCTCTGGCCAATGCTGGGCAAGGAGCCACCAGCCCCACACTCCCCCTGCTGTGGTGTTGATGGGAATGGGCTCACAGGGCCGGGGGGCATCACCCAGTGCTGGGGGCAAGGGCAGGGGATTGCTGCCAGAAGGGGACCAATGTCCTGGTCCCTGCATACCTGGGCAGCCTGGCCTGGGCATAGGGTGGGCACGAGCCCTGTGACTGTCCCTTGGGGCTGCACGTTGCAGCCCCCCTGGCTCTGAACCACCCCATGTAACAGCCCTGCCCTCACCCGTGGGGATCACACAGCATCTCCCCTGGCTCCTCACACACCCGGGGGCGCTGGGAGGGGGTCAGGGTCTGTGGGGGACCCCAGCTGCTGGCAGGGTGTCCGTGCCAGCACATCACCAGCCTGGGACAGCAAACCTGCCCAGAAAAAAATTTTTACTGATGAGCTTCCCCTCCCAGCACGCAGGAAGATGATGTGAACTGGATGGCTCACGGACCCAACCCAGGACCCGCTCCCTGCCCTGCCCACTGTGCCTCAGTTTCCCCCTTTTGATAACAAGGCTTCGAGAGCAGATCTGACCTTCCCTGCTGCAGTGAAACCAGTCCAGTTCTCCCATCAAGTCTGTGGGACCCCCGGGCTGGGGAGCAGCATCCCCCTGGGACACAGCAGGAGCTGCTGGGGTTTGTCCCCACCAGTGTTATCACTGCTCCCTGCCCAGTTGGTCTTGCTGCCCCCGTCCCTGCTCTGTCACTGACAGGTCGGGACTGCAACCCACGGCAAACGGGCACTGCTGGACCCCTCCCAGCTCCAGCTCTCGGGGGATGTGCCAGGAACAGACTGTCCCTTCCCTGCCCACGCTGCCCACCTGCTCTGGCACAGGCAGCCCCTCAGGCAGGTGCAGGATGTGGGGTTAACCCTCCAAAACTCCATGCTGGGGACACCCAGAGCCAGGAGCATCCTCAGGGACCTTTGCCTCCTCCCAGTCCTGGGCAGCTGGGATCTGTCTTGTCTGGGGGAGAGGGGTAGTGTGGGGGGCACCAACCCAAAAAGCAGTTCGGAGAGAGGGAAGAACTGCAAAGTCTGCAATGGGAAACATGTCCCAGAGCAGTGTCCCCAAGCCAGAGACGGGGATGGGAAAGCTGGGGAGGGAAAGCTGGAACAAACCCCGCTGGAATCAGGTGTGGCAGGGCACAGCCAGGCCCTGCCCCGCAGGTAGACGAGCACCCACCTCTCTCACGGACGAAATACGCCAGGTAGAGGTCGAGCTCCTTGACAGAGACGCTGATGTGGTGGGGCTGGACGCAGAGGATGGGGTTGGTGCACTGGCCAGACTTGACCAGGCGCTCGCCATCGGTGCTCTCCAGCGGGATCCCTTTGAAGAGGATGACCATGACCAGGTCCAGCCGCCACACCTTGTCGGCCTGGCGCAGGCAGTCGATGCGACGCATCTTGCCCTTCTGGTCGGGGTTGGAGAGGACGCAGCACGAGGGCTTCTTGCCCGTGATGGAGAGCACGAAGTCCTCGCGGCACTCGGGCCGGATGTCCTTGCGCAGCTTGGCCAGGAGGCGCGAGGCCCATTTCTGCTTCACCTCCGGCTTCTCGCTCAGCAGCTCGTCCTTCACCGCCCTCTCCTCATCCTTCGTCATCCTCTTCTCGTGCTTCTTGAAGTACTTGCGCTTGCGGGCCTGCAGGTTGAACCACGTGTAGGCAAAGGCCCTGACGTGGGGGAGCAGCGCCTCGATGAAGGGGTGGAACTCATCCTGCGGGAGCAGAGGGACAGGGGGTCACTCCTGGCTGACCTCTCCCAACCACCCGGCGTGGCTGGGGAGCCCTGGGGACCTGTCAGGCTCATCCCCACTGGGCTGCATTCCAGCACAACCAGGAGGAAAAGCTGTGGCAGAGGCACATGCCCATCAGGGATGGGGACCCCCTCACCACACAGCAGGGTTGTCCCTGTCCCAGGAGACTCCCACAAATCCCACCGCCTGCAATTCTCCCACCAACAGCCTGTGTGGGGTGGTTGGGCCATACTGGAGCTGGTGGTGCCGCAGAGGGACAGGCACCTGTACAAGGTTTGCCATCTTGGCAGCACCTGGACCCGTGCCCCTTCCCAGCCCCACGTGCTGGGATCTGCTCCCCCCAGGCACAGAAATCCCTCCTGAAATCCCTCCTGAAATCCCACCTGACATCGTGCCCACCGGAGCCGCTGTGCCAGCGTCAGGCGCTGCCAGTCCGCAACACCCCAGCGCCGGGTCCCCCACACCCCCAGCATGCCGGGAGCTCCCGCTCGAGCTCTGGGCGCCTTGGACCTCTCCACTCCCTCTGGACCAGCGGGAAACTCCCCCAGTTTGCCCCAGTTGCAGCCAGACCGGCGGCTGGCGCCCGGCCCGGCGCACAAGGCGTGCTCTGACTGCCTTTTTCCATTTGGCGAGCGCTGCTGGATGAGTCCGGCCCCAAAAAGAAAACAAGGAAAATGCATCCCCCTCCCTGGCCCCTCCTTCCCGCATCCCATTTTTTTTTTTCTTTTTTTCCAGCTTGGAAAAAATCAGTGCTTCCTGGCTGGGGGCAGGCTCACAACACCCCCACAGGATGGAAAGGTGTTGGGAGCCTTCCTGGGGAGAAGCAGCACAGCTTGGAAAGCAGCAGGGAGAGGGTTGAGCATCCCCGTGCGTGGCCAGGGCGGTACCAAGATGGTCCTCGAGGGCAGGATTTACCCTCGGGGTCCCTCATGATGGTGAAGAGGAGGAGAAGGAGGAAGGAGCCCACCCAGAGTCTGCCGCAGGGTGCCAGGGCTGGCCAGGTGGTGGCTGGTGACAACTGCCACTGCTGTGCCACAGCCCTGGTTAGCAGGGCCGTGCCTGGGTTTGGGTCACCCTCTCAGTAGGGAGGGTGCCAAGGGCAGGCGTTGCTCTGGGACCAGGAGGTGGCTGCGGGCAGGAGCTGGGAGAGGACAGAGCCCTGGCAGTGGGACGGGGCCGGTGGCTGACCCCACTAATCCCAGAGCAGTGATGCCATTTCCCAGCTGAAGCAGCCGTGTCCCAGGGCGACCCTGCCTGGGAGGAAGGGTGTCCCCTCCACGAAGCAGGCTCCCTGCAGCACTGGCCCCATACAGACCCCACTAATTCCCACTCATCCCCAAGTCCAGCACAGATCCCATTAATCACAAACCTGCTCCCCCAGCACAAACCCTGCCAATGGCCAGCACAGTGCCATGGCACAGCCCTGGGTGTACCCTGGACCAGCACCCCCCCTCACAGACCCCGCAAGACACCCCAGCACAGACTCCACTGTCCTCTGAACCCAGCACAGCTGCCTTTAACTGCCAGCACCAGCCCCCAGCACAGCCCCACTAATCCCCCAAAAGTCCCCCCAAGCACAGACCCTTCCCCTCAGCACAGACCCCATCATACAGAGGAGTGCCAGCTCCTCTCTGCACCCAGAGCTGTGACCCCACAGCTGTCCCCCCCCATACCCCACAAGGGACAGGGGACTGTTCCCTTACCAGAGAACCTGTTGGACCCATGGAGACTCAACCCTGCCAGCAGACCCATCCTGACCTGGGCACCCGTCCCTGCCTGGGGGACTCATCCTGCCAGGAGAACCCGTCCCTGCCCGGAGGACCCGTCCCCGCCGGCTGATCCCGGGGCGGTCACAGGGTCTGGTTCCCGGTTCCCTCCCCAGCAGCAGCCGCTAATTCAGTGCAGCTGGGCAAGGGCTGGGCATGTGTCTTAAATCAGGGAAGAAGGTCAAAGAAAAGTAAGACAGGAGCCGAAAAAAGCAGCAGTGAGTTCCAAAAACAATACTTGGCCGGGGCGGTGGGCGGCTGATCTTCCTTGGTGGCCGGTTATTCAGACAAGCCCGACAAATTGCTGCCATCCCCTGGCCCCGCCACCCTCCCCAGGCAGCCGGCGGCAGGGCTGGCCACGGGGCAAGGGGGACACCACGCCATTGTCCCCATCCCTGCCCTCCCGCTGGGCAGTGCCACCCCAGGCACCGCTGCAGGGAAGCAGGGCAGGAACCAAGTTATTCGTGTTGGGCAAGGCAGCACCCTTGGGTGCTGTTTGTGCTCGCTGCAGGGGCCGAAGGGTGCTCGGTGCCCTGCCTTGGGACAGCAGGGATGAGCCCTGGTTTCGGTGCCYCCCCTTGCCACGGTGCTGAGGATGTTCAGATCTCATT